TACCTCTAACTATTCCCTACAGGTATTTCCCAGAGAAAGTAACTTTTCCATTCTCTTTATGGAGTTAAATTAGGACTGTTAAAAATCCTCCTTCAGGATGTTAAAGAATATATAAGTAACCTGTTTCTGCTCTCCAGATGACAGAGACAGACAATTTTATACTTCCAATATAAGTGAAATCTGTTCCAATCCTTTACCTACTTCTTTGTCGAGTGCTCTTTTGCAGTGCCCATGAAATCTCTGATTATTTAAAATAGTTAAAAATAGCTGTGGGCTAAGAGCACTTGAACCTTTTCGTACTCTTCAAAGAGTAATTTAAAAAACCTGACAGGTTTCGTCATTCTGTGCCTGATCCATATAATCTTTTACATCGGTGGTGGTGGAGTACCAGGTAGACCAAAGGAAGGTGACTACTCACAAGTAAGCTGTTAAAATAAAAAAAGATGAAACAAAAGGCTTGGACACCATTCCGTAATGACCTTCATAATCTGAAATGTTTCTGTATTTTGAGTTAATTAATGAGCTATAATTAGTAGTGATCTCAGAGACAATGATCAGAGAAAGCATTTTGCACGATTCAGGCAGTACTGCAAATGGAAACACTGTCTCAAACAATCAGACAAGGTCCCTTTTGTTATAATAAATGTTATCACCTTCCTTGTTTCTTAAAATGTGCTTCGTGCTTTCTACTTTGATGTCTTCATGCCACCACCATGTCACTATTTATGGTACAGTCACATCTGCCATAGCAGCAGAGGTTTTGAAAATGTTTTACCTGACTTTTAACAGATGGATGTTAATGGGATATTTATTTACAGAATAAAATTAAATCGAAGCTGAATCTTAATGCAAAATTTACATAATCAGCTTTGTTCTGAGCTAGTGAGCTGTTTTTCCCAGCACTTGGGACCCTTCAGTCACAGCTGCATCAAAGAAACAGCCACTGAGAATGGAGATTAAACAATTTCCTAAAGCTAGAAGTCTTGATGATAATCTATTATTTCATATTAGAATCCCATAATTTCTCTAGACACTGCCATAATATCAAAGATGTATGTTAGAGTCTTGGCATAGACCACAATCAAAAGGAAGATGTTCAATTTGCATTTAGAAAACATTTCTGTCAATTGTGTTTTCCTGAAAAATTGATAGTTCTGCAATTTTGCCTTTTGCACCCAAAACAACAGCAAAACCTTTTAACCCAGAGGCACGAAAGGGCTGAAAAGCTGAAATGGATCTATTTACAATTAGTTTGGTAAGATTTGGTTGTGCTGTTTGTACAGTCTAACTACGATCCTCCATCCTGCTAATGCTCAGCTCAGCTGGAGCTTTGCCACTTCTCAAGTGGCCATGGGTCTCAATTTGTGCTTTCATTTAAGTGCCTCCACCTTGGTGGGATGAATACCGTCTTGGAAAATGCAGCAGTGTTTTAAAGCTGTCTGCTTTAAAACCAGCCAATGGCCTCCGAAGGAAACAGTTTCTTTGTGCACCTTACCTGAAGAGTTGTTCCTCGCCTTCTTTGCACTGCGTGAATGTTGTGAGTAGTCTGTGCTCAAATTCAAATGTCGAAAAAAAAGAAGACAACCAGACCCCTTTTAGCACAAAGATTAAGTGAATGACTTCCACCATATTCTGCATTTAAAAGTATATATTTGGTATGTGGCTAATTCTGTGCTGAACTAGGATCAGCAATGGGAAGATCAGACCAAGCTGCTGAGAACCCCAGCAACCCCCCGCCCCGCCACAGAGAACATGGGTTTCGGCCAGCACCACAGCTTCTCCACCTACTTCATGAAATCACAAGAAAAACTCTGGGTAAATTTTCTTCAGTAGTTAACAGGAGCAAGACAGGGCTCAAGAAAGCTCAAAAGGCTTTATATATAACATATATAATAAAAATGCTTTATATAATAATATATAATATATGTAATAACCTTTTAAATTGCAGTTTAGGAATGGGAGGATGTAGTGAGGCTGCCAAGACAAGCGCAACAGGCCAGCGTGGGTGTTGTATGAAGACAGTACAAAACCAGCTGTATTAGACTGCCTAATAAGAAACAAGAACAGGAAAGTCAGCATTTGCACAGAGCTCAGCTACAGGCAATAATCCAATTTACAGGGAAGCAAGGGACTGATGGTGACCTTGCCAAAAACCCAGCTTTCCAAAAATAGTACTGACAAATGAGTAGTGCAAAAATAAGGAGCTAATCAGCAACAATAAGAAAAAGCGAAACAGAAAGTTTGTCTCTCTGCAAAAAGGTAGATTATGGACCATCAGAATGACATCCATCCATTTGAAACTAGAATAGCTATCAATTTCCAGGTACCTGTACATCAGCAAACAGGCTAGGAGAAAAAACAACCTAAGTTTACCCCATCTTTTTCCCAAACCTGCATAAATGTTATGGTAATTAGCAAGTAGTTCCTGTAAATAGCTACTGCTGCATTTTCCCTCCATTCGTACTTTTAATAGACTGCTACAGCTGTGAGCTCAGCCCTTCTCACCAGCATCCACTCTGGATGAAGACTTGTACGATACATTGATGGCCCCCTCAAAGGTAAGAAAACACACTTCATGCCACTTGCTGGAGGCATGGTGCAAAGCAGAGAATGGACAGTGCTTAGGACTGTCCCCATGCAGTCCTGTGACACACTGCAGGCAACTTAATCAACACCATTCATACACTCGACGTTGAATAATAGATCGGGCAATACTCATGCAGACCAAGCAATACTCATGATCATCACCCAGAAGAGGTCCTCCACTGTTGTCATCAACTCTGTCCAGTTTGTAACCAAGTAAGTGCATATTGGTGATTTGAAACCTTCTGGGATTTTGACAGTTTGCTTATTATGCAGTTGTCTGCAAGATTAAGCACTGGGTAGTCATTATGGGCATTGCTATCTCAGCACTTGATAGACTTGAGAAACCTTTAAGGCATGAGTCAATTCAACTTCTCTATGAGAGATGAAAGGAAAAAAAGTACACCAGATATATACTTTTTATACCCAGGAAGATCAAAAATCCAAAGCAGTGATTAAAACATGAAGGGCTCACAAAATCTTATTCCCCTAGGAACATCATTAGCATTCGGGAGAAGTAGTGTGTTCCCCTGAGGATCCTATATTTGTTCCTGGCAGTTAAGCTCTGCTCAAACTAACTCAGTTTTACTCACAAAGTAATAATTTCCCCACACAATGGAGAGATCTGAGTCAGCAGCTTAATGAAAGCACATCGCACAAAGCAAAGCCAGGGACTGGGGCCCTGATGGAGCTGGTGAGGGTATTGGGGCTTAGACTTGCAGCGTGCTTACCCCAGCCCAGTCCTCAGCATGTGACAGTAAGTTGTGGTGGTACATGTGGTCCTGTTTTCAAGTTTCCAAGTCCAATGGAAGAAATTCTTCACTATGAGAGTGGTGAGGCACTGGCACAGGTCACCCAGGGAAGTTGTGGATGCCCCCTCCCTGGCAGTGTTCAAGGCCAGGTTGGACAGGTCTTCGAGCAACCTGGTCTGGTGGGAGGTGTCCCTGTCCATGGCAGGGGGTTTGAACTGGATGATCTTTAATGTTCCTTCCAACCCAAACCATTCTATGATTTCAGACTCACAAAGGTGCCCAGGGGTTTCTGCTGGATGGAGGCAGGACATTGCCCTTTCCCCTGCTCTGTGATGCCACTAGAAATATCAATGCTCCTCCAGGCTGGAGAGCTGTTGGCTGCATAACTACACATGATTGTTTTCAGACAAAGACACACACAATTCATGGCCACAAAGAAGAGCTGATCCAAAAAGTCCACCAAAGTCTACAAGAATTTTCTTTTAGCAGTATGCTATAAATAAGACACTAAGCAGTCCTTCCTATACACACTGTATCCTAAAAGTGCCTTTTGTCAGCAAATAATAATTTCACTTGAAATCAGTAGGGTTATTCAAGTGTACAAAACAAGGCCATTTGAGAAGAATTAAGCCTCATTAAGATACAAAATTATGAAGGTAATTTACAAATAACCAAGATGGAAGGAGACAAACTGTTCTGGTGGGTGATGTTTGCTTTATGGTCCTGTTATACTCTGAGGCAAGAGATGGATTATCTTCTGAGG